TAGCTGCCTCCACCAGTGTGTGAATGCGAGATTGAATGAATAGTGGCATTGTAAAGCGCTTTGGGTGCCTTGAAAAGCGCTATATAAAATCCAATCCATCCATCATCTCCTCTACCTAAAGGACCTTTTAGCTTCTTTTAATAATGCTATCAGATGCGAGGGCTGCCTATTTCTCACACTTGGTTACAAAGAGCAGAGGTAATCCTAAGGTGCTGTTCAACACCATTAATGACATTGTTACTCTTGCTCTTCCTGCAGCCCTTATTTCATCTAATGAGGACTGTGACATTTTTCTTTCTTTTCTGCTTGCAAAGATGAAGAACGTAAGAATTAATTTTTCTCATTCAGCACCTGTTATGTCTATCTCCATCCGATCTCGGCCTGTCATTTTGGATACTTTCACTCCTGTTTCATTTCCTGAGCTGGTAAAACTAGTGAATTCAGTGAAAGCATTCTCTTGTCCACTTTACATTTTGCCTGCATCATTATTCAAACATATCTTCCAGGTTATTGATCCATCTGTGCTCACTCTAATCAACTCTGCATTGGCGTCTGGTATAGTTCCGGTTTATTTAAAAAATGCTGTTATTCTCCCAGTTTTAAAGAAACCTCAGCTAGACCCCTCTCTTTGGAGCAGCTACAGACCTATCTCTAAATTACCGTTAATTGCTAAGCTTCTAGAAAAGGTTGTGGCTAAGCAACTTTCTGGCCAAACATACCATTTGCGATAAGTTTCAGTCTGGCTTTTGCAGAGCTCAGAAACAGCCCTTCTTAGGGTCTCAAGGGAAATTTTGATAAATAATGATGCTGGAAAATGCTCAGTCCTACTTATGTTGGACCTAACATCGGCTTTTGACACTGTTGACCACCACATCCTCCTTGAAAGGCTTAAACATTGGGTTGGTGTATTGGGTACTGCTTTGGAGTGGTTCTCCTCATATCTACATCACCGTTCTTTTTCTGTGGTGGTGTCCGATTTTAGGTCATTCTCTACCTCCCTTACTTGTGGTCTCCCTCAAGGTTCAGTTTTGGAGCCTTTATTGTTCTTAATATATCTTCTCCGCATCCAGCATATAATAGGCTCTTCTGAGGTCATTTCCTATCACTGTTATGCTGATGATATTCAGTTGTACATCTCTTTTAAGCCCCAGGATTTATCTATGCTTTAGCTACTGAATGACTGCTTAGATTCCATCAAATATTGGATGGCTGCAAATTTCCTCCAACTCAACAAGGGGAAAGACAGATTTGTATCCCAGATAGTGAAAGCCCTTAGTCCTCTTTCAGTGTATGTTTCATGGGAAATGTAAATGGGAATGTTCCCAAATTTAAGCTGTCATTTTCTTAAATCCAAGTTGATAAATCTCTAACTTTATTAGAATTACCAAATGGATTTTATTTTAATATTTTCTCTTTATGTCTTCCTACCGATTATTGTTGAGTTGACTTCCAGTATTTTGTTTGTCAGGTTTATTTCTTGACTCAGTCACACTAGAGTCAAAATAGGATGGAAACTCGTCAGAAAAAATATTTTTTTGCCAGTTACTGCTTTGAATTTTCTTTCCCTTTTTACTTTTGGTGACTGATTTCAACCATATATATATATACCCCAGAAGTTGAGTATGCAACATCTGATCAACCACATTTGATTGAAAGACAGTTGTAAAGATGACCTAATATCAGGCAACTTGAACACCAGACAAATTGATAACAAGTTTCAATCAGTTGGTCAACGATGTATAACATGTCTACTTAGTGACAAGTTAGTTGGAGATCAATATATTCCTAAATTTAAAAAAAAAAAAATGAAGAACAAGGTTGCCACATTCTTCTGTCACTCTGCAGTTCAGTCATGTCCTACAGCAACTATGACATAATTTGTGGATAAATTTCAGAATTTATGTTTCAAATCTATGAGGCACTGCCTGGACAGTAAAATAAAATAAAAAATAAGTACCTTCAAACATGGAGAAAGCAACAGAACAATGATTGTTGCCAATATATGACAGTTAATCACAGTATCATTGCAAACAGCAGATGAATCAGCCTATAAAATTCAAATCAGTACATCTCTGCTTATTTTCAATTAATTGTATGAATTCTGAATTTTTCTTCACAGTGTTTAGATCACCAGAGAAAGAGATCTCATTAAACATGGCAGTCATTTAAATGGAGGAAGTTAGTGTATTAAAAAAAATGAACCTGTTTTGTGCACTCAAGCTCCTTTTTCGGGGTCTTTATTTCACCCTCCATCTTCCGTTTTTCCTCCTGGACTTGACTGATGGTTTCACAAAGCTTCAAAAAGAAACAAAGTAAGACAAGACAAAGATACGTTTTTATGTTTTTGTTATAGCATGTGGGTTATTACACAGAGTCAATAAATTATTTACTATATATTCAATTAAGAGGGTGATATGATATAAATTAAATAACGGAGAATCTAAAGAAACAACTGCATTTCATGCAAAGTAAATTAAGCATTATCTTAAATTAAGTTTTCATATAAATGAAGCAAGCATGTGTCATGGTCCTGAGTCTGATGACTCAGTGTTTTGTGTTAATTAATATTATCTTATGGTTTAATTTATTCTGGTTATGTCTTTTGCTATGATTTCTAGTTCCTTTAGTTCCCATTCTTCCTCTGTTCCAGTTCAGTAAGGTCTCTGTGTAAAGCCTGTGTCTCTGAGTCTGTCTTTTAGTGATGGTAAATTCAATTCTTTTTACTGAATCAAGTTTTAATGAGTCACTCACCAAAGTGAATCGGGTTTCTTGAGTCATTTGAGTCACTAAGTCAGTTGACCAGAGAGTGCAAAAATGTATATTTTCACTCAAACTTAATTTGTTTCTCTTTTAATGGAAATCCTACTGCTAAGATGAATGATTGTAAAAGACATTTATTTATTTTTTATTTTATTTTATTTGTATTTTCCTTAATTGTGTCAAATATATATTTTCCTATCTAAATGTCCACTGAGCTGTGAGCCAGGGGGCGGTAAAGCGCCCTGACATTGGTTGCCAACCAAGAAGCTGTGAGCCAGGAGGGAGGGGGTGAGTGAGTGAGTGATTCGCTTATGCTATGATTCAGCACAGCGGGGGGGTTGGGTTAAGAAACTGGCTGTTGTTTTTCCCCCCAATTTTAATTATAAGCTAGATATATTTCTACTAATGGAATTAGTTTGCTAACAGCGACAGGGATGAGTCAGTGAGTCAGTTGCGCTTGTGAATCATGATTCACAAGTCAGTAAAGTGATTCTCGAGTATTGAACGATTCATTCATGAATCAAACATCACTATTGTCTTTGCATGTGTGCTGAGTTTCCTGTTATATTGTGGAGGTCTGTGTCTTATGTCATTGTATTCAATTTTGCATCCTCCCCATCTCATCATCTTTATTAGATTCATCCCTGTCTCCCTCCTGTGTGCAGTTTCCTCATTTCCCTCTGTGTGACACTGTTTCCAAATTCAGGGAAAGGATGCTTGAAAGGCCGTATTTGTAGGTATTATATAACAGCAGCGCGACAAAGGCTGTCCAAATTCGAAGAGTCCTCCAAATGTGGCACAAATATGCATTTTATTTCCCTGAATTTGAAGGTTAGGTTGGGTGTATCCTTACTGTCCTACTCTATTCCAGGATTCATTGTGGGCCATACAGGAGATTTTTTTCTAATAATGATGGTGGTCGAAGCGGGAGTTAATGCCGGAGAGGAATACACTTTAAAATGTAAGTATATGATAATCTGGTGGTATAAAAGTTAAATTTCTGTAGCGGTTGTGCTGGTAAGCTTTGGATATCTGCAAAGACTTTTTTTTTTTTTTTAATTAAAATAATCGTAAACTAGTTTGTATGGTGTGGAGCCAGGCCCAGGGAGGGTGCCCGAAGGCAAGCAACTGGTACAGCCGAAAAGGGGACATGGGCCCACCACCCACAGGAGGCGCCATAGGGGTTGGGTGCATTGCGTGCGGAGGAGCGGAGGCCCTGGCGGACTGATCCCCGGCTGCCAAGACTGGCACTGGCATTGGGACACGGAATGTAATCTCTCTGGTGGGGAAGGAGCCTGAGTTAGTGCGTGAGGTTGAGAGGTACCGGCTAGATATAGTCGGG